AGGAAGAAGGTAAGGCCTGTTTTTCAGGCCCTTGGAAGATCTGTTTTTTTTTTTTGTTTTTTTTTTAACAACAAGGAGCAGGCCCCCCTCCGAAAAAAAAGAAATGCCAGGATTGGCTCAAAAACAAACTTTTTTGGGTTTCTTTGCTTTAAAAAAAAAGAAACGGAATGGGGCATTCATCTTGCTTCCATTTTCGGGCATCCTGAGGGCCCCAGGATGAAAAATATACTAAATTTTGCCCATATTAAATATGAGCCAAGGCCAGCCAGCTCTGATGAAGCTGGAGGCTAGGCATTCTGTACGAGTCTTGTGGCACAGAGGTTAAAACGCAGTACTGCAGTCTGGACTCTGTTTCACAACCTGGGTTTAATCCCAAAGGATTCCTCCAACTGGCCTGAGGTTCACTCAGCCTTCCATCCTTCTGAGGTTGGTAAATGGGAGCCCCCCAGTTTGCTGGAGGAGGGGGCAATGTGTAGCCTGCATATTTAAATTGTAAACCGCCCAGAGAGAGCTTTAAGCACTAGGCACCAGGTCAAAACCTTCCTGTTCCAGAAGGCTTTTAATTGAAATAACAACTGTGGGTCCTGATGATGGCAATTTTAATTGTATTTTAATTGTATTTTAATTGTATTTTAGTCATTTTATTGTATTGAATTTTAATTATTGTAAGCCGCCCAGAGACCTCTGGGTAGAGTGGGCGGCATATAAATTAAATAAATAAATGAATGAATGAATAAATAAATAAATAAATAAATATAAGCAGCACCCTTTGCTTTCCCAGCTGCCTGAGAGGGTCACAGCTATCTTTAAAAATGCAAAAAATAAAATAAGATTAAAAAGAGGCAGGGAGGGAAAAACTAATACAGTGGTGCCTTGCTTAACGATTGCCTCATTAAACGACGAAACTGCTATACGATGACTTAATAGGCAAAATCCGCTTTGTGACGATTGGTTCCCTGCTTCGGGAACCGATTCTTCACATTACAAAGTTTTTAAAACAGCTGATCGGCGGTTTCAAAATAGCCGCCGGTTGTGTAAAATGGCTCCCTGCTGTGTTTTTGGACAGATTCCTCGCTTTACAGGCACCGAAAATGGCCGCCCCTATGGAGGATCTCCGCTGGATGGTGAGTTTTTCAGCCTGTTGGAACGCATTGAACGGGTTTTCAAAGCGTTTCAATGGGATGTTTTATTTCGCTTAATGAGGATTTCACTCCACAATGATTTCGCTGGAACGGATTATCCTCATTAAGCGAGGCACCACTGTACAAAGAAACAACCACTGCACTGTCCCATTTGCAAAAACGAGGTCACACGTGGCAGCCCAGGCCCATCCTTAGGCTGACGAAAGAAACAACCACTGCATTGTCCTGTTTGCAAAAACAGCCACACGAAGTCACACGTGGCCCCAGCTGGCAGCCCAGGCCCATCCTTAGGCTGACGAGAAGCAGGAAGAAAGAGTTTGCAACTTAGCTGTCATGAGAGATGGAAAGGGGGGGGGACAGTAAGCAAACACGGACACCCAGACTCTCTGTTCCCCCTTGGTTTCAAGCCAGATCCCTTGCCTTTCCTCTGACTCGGAGGTGCGAACGTCAAAGCGATGCCAACACTGTTGTACGCGGGATGCGTGCGGGTGTGGGTGAGGATTCAGTGCCACTGGAAGAATGGAGAGGAAGTAGGTTTGGAAGTCAGGTGAGGGGAAGGATAAAAACCTTTCATCCTTTTAGGATCTGTGAGGTTCCGATTGCAGATCATGGATAGCATGGCGTGGAGCTTATCTTCCTCCTCTTCATCATCGTCGACGGAGGCAGAGCGGCTGGCAGCTAAGTGGTGGTAGTTAATAGTTACTGCTCAAAGAAAATAGTGAAAGAGGAGCATAAGAAGACAACACGGGAGCTGGGATCGACAATCAAGGACACGTGTTAAGGCAAGCAGACGGGAGCCTGTCCTGTGGGGCTACCAGGCCGGTAGTGCCTTGCAGCTTCCATGGAACTTAGATCAACACAAGAGGTCAACACAAAAGGCTTTCGGGCATTCTTCCCACCCGTCAGAATGCAAATGCACACACCTCTCAACCCTCAGGAGCCAAACGAAAGGCGATGCTGATGATCATCTTTACGCTCTTGTACAATGCAAGGATTTAAAACAATTATTTTCTGATTTATTTTTTTAAGGCTTCCTCAACGCAATGATAGGCACAACCTACTACAGTAATCTTGTCACTTTCAAAATGCCACTGACAAGGCGAGGGTCCGAAGCACCCTAGAGAAGAAAGCTTAGGAAAACTGACTCAGGATGCAGCTAATTTTTCATAAATCCCTTGCTATCCAGCCGGGCACAAGGAACAAAACATGTTTTCGCCATTACAACAGATGCTCAAGCAGGAAACGTTCTTAAAGTGGAAGATGTGCTGGGAATCCTGCTTTGTAGGTAAATATCAGACTTTATTTGTTTATTTATTTACACCAGGGTCCCTGTGGGCTTTTATTAGCAAAGGCAGGTTGTAAAAGAAGTGGAGAAACCGACGGATGTGTTTTAGGTGAAATTTTTGTGTGTCCTTTACTTTATGAAAGGGGTCTAGACTTCTGAATCTTTCCAGCCTCAACGGGAAGACTCAAAAGAGAAGAAGGCCAGCCCTCTGACTCTCGTTCCAGAGATGAAGGATGATAAAGGGACTAAGAATTCTCTGTGAGCGGCTAGACGTGAGCTTTTTCCGAACTCACGGACTACAGATCCCATAAATCTGAAGGAATTCCCTCAGTCTCTCTGGGAACTCCAAGGCATTATGGGTCTGGTCGTTGCCTGAAAGGTGCCGTGTATGGAGCATAAAAGGCAGAGAGACTACCAGGCCCACAATGCCTTGCGTCTCCTATAGAACTTAGCCTTGCTCGGCTACTTCTTCTGTCGTCATGTCCCAAAGAAGCCACTCTTTCTCAGCCTAAAGTGATTACAGATGCCTGAAAGGACCGAGGGATTCTGGCTGCAGACGTCTGTGTTTTGCAGTTCACGAATTCCAAAAGTCCTGGGCTTATTCGCAATGTCGTGACAAGCAGCCGAACTTGTGAAGATCACGGAATTCTGTGGACATGCTTTACCTCCCAACCTAAGATACATCAGTGGTCTCTGCATGCTCCTATCATCAATCACGTGGCCTCAGAACTCAAGGGAAGCCTGCCGTAGGCTTTGGTCACGCATCAAGGGCCACGGGGAGGCGCTCCGTCAGGCTGAACGTCACAAAAAAGGGCAGACCAGCCTGGCCTTCTTTCCTTGTCTGTCAGAAAGACCACAAGATGGGGATGTGCCAGCACCATTCCCGCTATGGACTACAGTTCCTACTATCCTTCAGCCTCAACTCTATTGACTAGGGCTGATGGACTTTGTAGCCTCCGATCCCGGTGAAATATACCAGAAGAGCTACCGTTACTCCTTTCCCTCCCAACGGCGTAGACTCCTTTCACAATATTAGGGGAGAAATGTGTATTATTATTATTATTATTATTATTATTCTACTGGTTTTGTTTGGCCACTTTTTCTGCAAATCTTGACGCTGTTACGTGCCATCAAGCCACCGCTGACTCACGGTGACGCTACGAATGAGCTACGTCCAAAGGAAATCCTCCGATCAACAGCCCTGCGTAGATCCTGTCGACGAAGGCTCATAGCTTCCTAAATGGAGTCATTCCATCTCATCTTAGGCAGTCCTCTTTTCCTACTGCGTCCTCGTAAACACGATTTCCACATCCATGTAGTGAATGTATCTGAAGACCCTAAGCAGTAGCTCTGCTCCACTCTATCTGGCAGGGATGCTCAGACGGCTAAGTTAAAGAAACCTGGCCACCCATCAGCCAGGAGACACCACGGTGGTGCACCTGCTTGCGCACGTACAGTGGTATCTCGACTTACGAACGTCTCCACTTGCGAACATCTTGAGTCATGAATGGCTCTGGTGACAAAATTTTGCTTCGACCTGCGAACAGAGCCTCGACGTACGAATGAAAAAAAAACCCTTTCCTGATCTTTTTTTGACCCAAGTTCATCTTAGGTCAAAAGAAGAAAAAAAATTAAAAAAAATTCTCCCCTTAGTGGTACAGGACGGAGTAACCGGTTTTGCGTTAGTTCCTATAGGAACTAATGCCTCCTCTTGCGAACAGCGTCTCGATATATGAACGAAAACCAGCCAGAACGGATTAAATGGTTTTCAGTGCATTCCTATGGGAAACTTTGCCTCGACTTACAAACTTTCGACGTACGAATGCTGTTCCAATATGGATTAAGTTCGTAAGTCGAGGTACTACTGTATGTGCGCAAATCCGTGGAAGTCTTTGCACAGACATGGGAAACGCAGTTTCAAGGCAGTGGGGTGCAAAAAAAAAAAGACGAATGGGGGAGGCGGGCATCTGTGGGTATGGTTTCAGGTTGACAGTGTGAATAGGGCAAAGGTGGAAACCAGGTGGAAAAACGGCCCCCCAGGAGACCAACGCCATTCCCCAAATGGCTACAACCTGCTGCTTCTAAGCGGCCTCCAGGATCCTCTGAGCCACGCACAGAGTGCAACTCTTGAAAACAAACCAGGAGCGTTTCCCTCCCGGAGAATTGCCCGCAAAAGACGTGCAATCAAAAACAACTCAGATCCTTACTGTTGTCGTGCCGGTGGCCCGGATAAATGATCCTGAAGACGTAGTCGGTGGAGGCTCCCAGCGCAGCCGGCATGTCTTCCACCTCCATCGACCGGTGGTGACTGTTTCGCTTTCGCAGTTTGGGAAACACTTTGCCCTGGAAGGCGAAGCAGGTAAAGGAAACTGAAAGTAACTTTCCAAAGGAAACCTCTTCCTGCTTTTTGTTCACAAGGCCGGTTGCCGTTATTTGTTACAACATCAAACAAGGGCAAGCCATTTGTATGTTTTCACCCGCTCATTACTTTTCTATTACTTTCTGTTACTTTTGGGATAGGGGAGGGGACCTTAGGATTGCTAAGAGAATGGCATAAAAATTGAAAGCCGCCAGAAAATGTGTTTAAAAGCCACTTTTGAAAGTAATTAGAAAATCACTCACACTGTTCCTCTTCATTACATTCCTTTTGAAATGTAACTTTTAGATCTGCCTTATTAAAAGTAATTAGTTACAGATAACTGCATTGCCTGTAACTCTTTACTTCTAATATCTGACTATGATACAGGGCTTTCTCATAGTTGGTTTTAAAAATATACCTCTTTCTTGGCACTAGGGGAAAGCTGGACAGCCCTCATGGGTCTTATGAACCCTAAGTGGGTTGTGTTTTTAAGTACCTGAAAGTAATGTAACACATAATGGCCAAAATCTTATTGCTAAGTACAGTGGTGCCTCGCATTACGATGTTAATTCGTTCTAGTGAAATCGCTGTAGAACGAAAACATCTTAATGCAAAATAAAGAAGCCCATAGAAAGGCATTAAAACCCGATTTCAATGCAAAATAAAGAAGCCCATAGAAATGCATTAAAACCCGATTAATGCGTTCCTATGGGCTTGAAACTCACCGTCCAGCGAAGATCCTCCATAGCGTGGCTATTTTTGCTGTCCGTGCAGCGAGGAATCCGTCCCAGAAAACAGCGGGGAGCCTTTTTTTTAACCCTGCGGCCATTTTTTAATTGCTGATCAGCTGGCCGAAAATCGTTGTTTTTTTAAATCGCTGATCAGCTGGCCAAAAATCGTCGTTTTGCGAGAATCGGTTCCCAAAGCAGGGCACCGATCATCGCAAAGCGAAATTCCCCCATTGAAACCATCGTAAAGCGATCGCTTTTGCGATCGCAAAAAGTTCGTCATAATGCGATTTCATTGTTAAACGGGGTGCTCGTCTTGCGAGGCACCACTGTATAGTAAATTGCACTAGAGCAGGGCCACTGAATCAACAGAGATTTGGTAAGTCAACCCTTCTACGTGTTCAAGTGGGTCTACTCTGTGATGTGCACTTTAAATCAGAGTTAGAGTACACCCATTTGAACTTATAGAGGAGTTGATTCAATGGGCCTCCTTTAGTGCTCTTTACTACACTAAGCAATAGAATTTGGGCCAATGTTTTCCAAACATGCAATGATCAAGGTCAACAGGGTGTTTTCCCAAAACCGTAACCAGTTACAAGAGCAAATCACTTTCAGAAATTAATCCCCTAAGCTCTCTGCCTGAAGAGAGATTTTCAGGTAACTCTAGCGCGTGGGAGCTGCCAGGCAAACTGCCCTCCTGGACAACACGGCCAATGACCTAGGCCAATGGAAACCGTAGTCAAGCAACAAAACCAGTTTGCCTAACGTGTCCATCCAGGGACCCCATTCTTTCCGGCGGCCTTACCTTTCCTTGTTGCGACCACAGTGGAGGCTCTAGCTGTCCTCTGGGAAGCAGGCCATTTTCAAGGCACGAGAGAAAGGCCAGGAGGTGTCCGCCGGGTGGGAAATGAAGCGGGGGCCTTTGGATGCCATCCTGGCTCACCAGCACCAAAGTCCCTCCTCGTTCGGCTGCAGGAGTAGATATGCCAGGCCATTAGCTCTTTGCAAACAGAAGGCAGACAGAACTGTACGATGGCCAGGGACCCCTTTCGGCCCGAGAGCTGAGTTCCATTCTGGACCAAGTCTCAGACTCCACATTCTAGTGGCGCAAGGTTAAAACTGGAGGGCCACCAATAGTGGCACATTTTTGCCCAGGGAAGACAGACGGTAGTTTCAAGGAGCTGGATTCAGCCTGAGGTTCCTTTCCCTATCCCAAACTTGGCAGCCATGGATGCAATGATTTTGCTGAAGCCAGGCAAGCCTTGGATAAGAGCCCACGTGATAACTTGGTATACTATAAATAAAGTCTTATCAGTTAGTTACAGTGGCATAAGTACAATGGCATAAACTGCAGCAGTGAATTGCTGCTAGTTTGTTGCTGTTGGTGAATTGCTGCTAGTGAGCTACTACTGGTGAATTGCTGCTAGCTTATTGCTGCTAGTGAAGTGCTACTTGTTAACCCTTGTCACTCACTAACTCACACAACCGGCACATGAAGATGCAAGTGGTGACATGTTAGCAAGCAGCAATTCACGGCTGCGATTTATGCTATTACATGCATACACCCAACATAATTGATTGGGAGTTCGATTCCCCACGGTGCTTCCTTGAGAAGGGTTGGACTCGATGATCCAGAGGGTCCCTTCCAGCTCTGCCATTCTAAGATGATGATGATCAAGGGAGGTCACGCCTAGTGAAGCAACTCTTCCCAGTGTGATCAGACGCAATCCTATATCACACCTTCAAAAATAAGAGTGCCCCCAATAAGGAACAAGGGAGATGAGTATGGCCGGCAAATTGTAATGAAAATAAGTACAGTGGTGTCCCGCATAGCGACGTTAATCCGTTCCAGGATTAACGTCGCTAACTGGATTTGTCGCTATGCGGGGGGGGAACCCATAGGAACGCATTAAACTCTGTTTAATGCGTTCCTATGGGGCGAAAACACACTGCTATGCAAAGATTCCCCCATCCGGCCGCCATTTTCGCCGCCCGGTAAGCGAGGGCAGGGCGCGAAAACGGAGCGGGCAGCCATTTTTTTCTTCCGGCAGCCATTTTGGAACCGCCAATCAGCTGTTTTTAGAACATCGCAATGCGAAGATCGGTAAGCAAAACGCTTACCGATCAGCGCAATGCGATATTTTGCCATTCAAAACGTCGCAATGCGATCGCATTAGTGATCGCAAAAAATGCGTTGCTATGCGGATTCTTTGTTAAACAGTGCGCTCGTTAAGCAAGGTATACGTTTGGGAGCTGAACCGGGCCCTATTCAGAAATGACCACAGATGTGGGCTGAAGTCCCACCACCTTGCTGCGCAAAAGGCACACATTTTGTCCATAAAAACGCCATAAATTAAGAAACAGATCTTCTCTGTTGCATAACGAACTTCGCAAGTTGCCCTGCCACAGAGGGTGTTTATAAAGATGTCTGGTATCTCATGGCCACTTGCCAAGAAAAGTTACGCATTTGGCTTAACTGCGCAACAAGATTTGGGCTCGTCTGTTGCGTCGTTGTGACCTACGCCAACTGGTAAATGACCCAACAGATTTTTCGCCTGGGAATTGAAAGTTGGCTTTTGTTGAGTGAAGGAAACAGCCCCTCTGTTATTTAACACTCTTGGAAGCTTTACCTCATACAACCGTGTGGCCCCGCCCTGGTGCTTCCCCCGACAGGTTGGGCTCCACTTTCCCATTGTCCCCAGCGGGGAGCAATGATGGGAAATGTAGTCCTACAGACCCAGAAGGCTCTAGGTTGGGGAACGTGAGGCGGCCATAGAACAAAAGGCTTACGTTGTTGATGGCAGTGGATGCAAACGATCTGGCTGAAGGGCACGATCAAAGCGTAGTCCCAGTAGATGCTGAAAAGGGGGAGAGAAAAGATGCGGGACACTAAGTGCTTCCGAAAAGGCTTCGGGTCCCCAATCCAAGATACTCTGAAACCGAAGCTCGGGAAAGATAAAAGGAAGCATTTCTTCACATGGTCACATAGACTGTGGAACTCACTACTACAAGATGCCACAATGGCTGCTGACCCAGAAGGTTTGAAAAGGGGATCGGATAACATTCTCGGAGGTCGGGGCCTTTAGCGGCTACCCCCGTTAGAATGGCAAGGTGCCCCTGGGGAAAACCACACAGAGGTCCCACGGGCCAACGGTGGGCCGCGGTGTTAGTAAGCCTGGGGGCTGGAAACCACTCAGAGCCCTTCTTACGGCCGTCAAGCCGGAGAGCCAAAGAGATCTTCCACAGACAGGGGCAGTCTATCTCAGATCAGGAAAAAATATCTGACTGGGAAAAATAAATATGGGGAAGGGTTGTCCCCATCACTTTGGACACAGCAACTCATACCTCTTCTCCAGTTCTGAATCCCTCAGCGTCCCGTTCATGAGTTGGTTCGGGGTCCATTTGAGGGTCAGTGATTCGGCGGACTGGTGAAGGGAGAGGTAGCCCGGAATGGCCTCCATGTCATCCTTCTGTTCAAAAAAATAAAAATAAAAAAATAAAGGAGCCGCACGGGAGGATGAGGAAAGCCAGAGAATGCGAACGGAACTTTCTAGGATAAAAATAAAAAGTGAAGCATATTTTTCAATTAGAGACAAGATCTAAGTTTTATGAACAAGCGTTTTAAAGACGGGCAGCCGGTGACCCTGGTTTCGGAGGATCTGCGAATCCGTTCCGGGTTTCTGTCCGCACTTTAAGGTTACGAGGGAAGGTTCGGAACCCCAAAGGTGCAGCCTTTATGAATGGGAGGGAAGTCATGAAAAGTGTCTAAATGATGATGTCACAGGAAACAGGGTGCAGCCATCGGGGGGGGAAGCCAAAAGGGCCACACGGGGACCCCAGAAAAACCGGGAGCCACTGGTGGTGGTCTACACAAAACCCGTGGCCTTATTGCAAGGATAGCTCTCTATGCAGAACAGGCACACTGTCGAAATGTGGATGGTTGCAGAGTGAAGTCTGAAGGCCGAATTCAATACAGTGATAAAAAATAAAAGCTTGACGCTGAAGCTGGGGTCTCTGTGACCCAGGCTGTTTGATGTACTCAAAGCTGTCATTTCATTCCTCCTTCGTTGACTCGCATGAATCAGTGACTCATCCCAACGGTTTCTGGTCCTCCCCGCCCACCCCGAGACTCATGTCCTCAAACGATCTCGCTCGGCAAGATCTGCTTCCTCGTGTTCCTTTTGATAAGCAGCCCGTGTGTTCCAGCCGGGGCTGGTAAAGCTGTTAAGGCCTCGGCTCCCAAGGAATCGTGAATCGGGCTAACGAGATGAGTTACACCCTTCCCTGTTTGGGGTTTCGTTCAAAGCTTTTTAGAAAAAGAAAAGAAATCCTCCGGGAAAGGAATTGACCAGGAACAAAGTTCAAACCGTTTCGGATCCTTATGCTCGATGTTGTACCTGAAATCGTGGAGAGAGAGCTAACAGGGTTGGGGGGGTGGGGGGTACAGGATCATGTCTGTAAGCTCTTGCTGTGGTCCCTCCCATCTGGCACACCACCTGCCCAGTCGTTGGCAGGGAGTGTGAGGCAGTATGGTGTAATGGGTGGAGGGTCATACCAAGACCTGGGTTTGAATGCCGGCTCAGCCGTGAATAAACGGGAACAGGCTCAGAGGAGGGCAACAAGGAGGGTCAGGGGGCTGGAAACCAAGCCCTCTGAGGAAAGTCTTAAAGAACTGGTCAAGCTTGAGAAAAGAAGACTGAGGGGTGATAGGATGGCACTTTTCAAAGACTTGAGTGGCTGCTCTACAGACGAGGGGAAGGATCTGTTGCCAATCCTCCCAGAATTACGTGTCGTAATGGGCTCAAATGACAGGAAACCAGATTTCGGCCGAATATCAGGGAAAACCTCCCAACTGTTAGAGCAGTACGACAACGGGACCCATGACCTCAGGCTCCCAACACGGGAAAGCCTTCAGGAGAAAACAGCACCACCCTCTGCCCGGATCTGCTTTGGTTTGGATCCCTGCTTTGAGGAGAGGGTGGGACTGGATGGCCTTCGAGGCCCCTTCCAACTCCCATGGCTTACAAAACCGCAAAACACAGAGGCAGGGGAGAGACTCGCTCGAGGAGTCGCAGAAAATGTGATTCTCCCTGTGCCCTGTTTTAGAGGAGACCCCCCACACACACACACACACCCTCAGAGGTTTCTAGATCTATGGTCCTCCACCCTTCTTGTGCTCAACAGCATCTTCCACATTTTGTGGGGTGCGTTTGAGCCTCGCTGTGCCGGCCAGGATGGGCCCTGAAACGCTCCACGCCGGACACCCACCGGCTGCACCAGAACGTTGTTCTTTCCGTACAGCAAATGCGTCCTTGAATTCTGGTGGAGCGACGCCACGTAATCCCGGGCCGACGTGGCAAAGCGATCCTCCGACATGCTTCCGCTGGAGTGTCGCTTCCTTATCTAGGACAGAGAAGAGCATCAAGGCATAACTGAGGGGAAAAAACTTACTTTCCTTTCCTGGATTACAGATCCCAGCATCCTGCAACCAGCGTGACAAGAGCTTGGGGGGGGGGAACTGTCTGTCTGTCTGTCTGTCTATCTATCTATCTAGTCTAATCTAAAATACAGTATTTTTACCCTGCTTTTCTCCTTTAAAATGATTCCTTAAAAGACAATATTTAAAAGCTAAGAACAGTTTAGTCTACAAATGTTAAAAAGGAAACATATAGGGTGGATTTGATCTAAATCAAATTGCTTTTAATCACAATTTAAATCACTCATCAGTACGACTACATTTAAATCACGGTTTTTCTACATAAAGACTCATTCTTGTTAGTATAATCTTAATTTTTACAACCAGGCAAAGGTTGCATTTTTAGAACAACAACTCTCCAGACTAATTTTACAGTTATATCAAAAAATTACTGATTTGCTTTTATGGTAGGACTGTGGTATCCATGGGGGATTGGTTGTAAGTCCCACCCACCCCGTGGATGGTGAAAAATGTGGATGTTGAGAACACCATGGTCTCTGCCTCCCTCTTGTGGCCAGTTCTGATAAATACACCCTGGAAATAAATATCAATTTCTGGGCGGTTTTATTTAGTATTTTTGGGTAGTGGATAAGTGAATCAGTGGATACTGATCCAGAAGATGAGGGAATCCTACTGTACTATTAGAAACACTTCACAGATAGATAATTATGAAATTATTGTGAGTGGGAACTATCTCCAGTTTAATAGGTTATTCATTCACAGTTGGACACCTTTTTCGCTGTACTTTATTGGCAGGAGAAAAATATTAACAAATATATCCCAAGTACATTAGCTTTCAAAGAAACACATTACACCAAAGACTGATTGATTGATTGAAAATATTTTTACCCTGCCTTACTCCAAAAAAAGGGACCTAAAGACAGCTTTACATAATTAAAAATACAATATTAAATGCTAAAAAGAGTAAGTGATGCAAATAGGAAAGAAGAGTTAATAACGTTGCACTAAAAATGTTCGGCAAAAGCAGTACGAAAGACAGATTTAGAAGCAACAAAATAGAAACCATCTGGTTTATTATCTCCTGAAATATATATATATGTGTTTGTGTGTTAAATACGTTCAAGTTTCAAAGCCAGCCGGGTTCAGGACCCGGGAGCCACTTACCCCCAGCGCCGGCCGTTTGGAGGGCGAATCTTGGCGTCCGTGCGTCCCGTGGATCCGGTGCCGTTGAACCAGCTCGTCCGCGGACGGATCGGTCCAGAAATGGTCTGCTGTCTTCAGCTTGGTGAATTCGAGGGCGGAAGGTCCCACTGGAAACCCAGAAAGTGCAAGAGAGGGAAGGAGAAAAGGATGGGCAACGGAGTCTGGTCGTCAGGAAGGGGGGGGGGGAAGACACCCATCTCGTGCCCTTAAGGGCTTGCAGGAGAGCAGGAGGAGAATTTGGATTACAACTCCTAGCATCCACACCCAGCGGGATGCCTAGCCTGGAAAGCACACTCATTCATTCACTCATTCACTCATTCACTCATTCATTCATTCATTCATTCATTTATTGCTGTCCCCGCCTTTTCCTGGCCCAAAATTAGATTAGGCTGCTCAAGGAGTCTTGTGGGGCAGAGGTTAAACTGCAGTCCTGCAGTCAAGACTCTGCGCGCTGGAGGTGGGGGCAATGGGTAGCCTGCGTAATTTTTTTAAAAAGTGCTTTAAGCGCTATGGGGCAGTGTAGAAGCCAAACACCTTGTTCTGCTTTCAAATGTCGAGCGTTCAACTTCCCCTACTTGGCCCCAATGTTGTCTGATCCTCACAACAACAACCCTACGAGGTAGGGTAGGTCTGGGCATAACGGGTACCAGAGTTCAAGAGCAGCTTGCCTTTGAGGGCCATTGTACAAGATTCGTCTCATTCTTGGACAGAGGAAGACACTTTCCCCTTTATCACAAAGAAAATGCATGACATAATACAGAGGCCCCATGCATCAGAAACCGCAGCTTTGGAATAACTTTTATTTTTAATTTATTTTAAAAAAAAATCTGCAAAGGCTCCATTGTTTTGCCGAATCTCTTTCCCTTCTTTTGGTGCGTCAAATTTCTGACTCCCGCCCCCATCATTTCTGCAAACATCTTTAGAGTGGGGGGAAAGCCACCATATGGAGACTGTCAAAACCAAGCTTATCCTGAAAGTGCACAGAAATAACACCAAAAAAGGAGACTTACCCAGGAGGCAGGCCAAAATCGGCCCGCAGACCGGATCTGCTATTAAAGCTTCTCTTTCATAATACTTGCTGGAAAAGATTGACAAACAGGAATCAACGTGGAATTAAAAGAAGAAGCAAAAACACGTATGTGTTTCGTAGCAATTGGAAAACAGTGTTATCTCTCCCCCCATCCCATTCAAACAAAATAGTCACCCCAAAGCAATCAAGGACCAAAAGGTGTTGTTTCCCTTGTAGGAAGCTTCTTCATCTCAAGATGGCAGATCCCCTTCTCCAGCCAAGCATAGTCTACTGGCAATGACCGATTTAAGAGACAAAAATGCTGTGGATGTGTTGGTATATACATGGGGTGGGGGGAGATTGCCCATCTCAAGGCTTCAGACGACATTACAGATGATTGTATACATGCATATCACCAGTTAACCATTACAGCAATCAAGCAGATGCTATTAATTGCAAAGAGAAGATGGAGAAGCTTCCTTCCTTCTGCAAAAACAAGACCAGGAGCAGACTATAACAAACAACGAACTTCCAATGTCAAAATTAGGGGAGAGCTGAAGAAGAACACTAACACTATCATTGTTCCAAAGTATAATTTAAATAATGTCCCTGAAGAATTTAAAGACTGTGTAAACAAGGAGAAGGAAAACTCCAATTTGAAACCTCCACTGCCTTGTGGCTATATCCACTCATGGAAAAGGCTTCAGGAGTTAACCTCGAGGCAAAATCCGGAGCTGGAGTCCCGAAGGCAGCATGTGTCGTTCTGCCAACTCCTGCGACATTGCTGGAACCAGTTGTATTGGCTCTTGCCTTTCCATTGGACCATTTCAGCAATGTGGAGAGGGGGGATCTGCTGCTTGGGTAACAGCCTATCCTCCATATTACCTTACCCGGGCTTCATGCTCTGGAGAGGACACTCCTCAATTCAGAGCATGTTACCATAGTCTCTCGAGACTGAAGGATGCCTATGTAAACAAGATATCTGCAGCACTAAGTTCAATTAACTGAGAATCTGAATACCAGTTGATTCATACTAGAGGTATTGCCAGGGGTAATGTTAAAAAAAAAAAAGCTTGATGGCTGACCGATAATTGTCAGGGAAACATAAGTAAAAGCAAAAGGTGACAGAAATAGGGTTAGGAATCCTAAATACAATGTTTCAGCAGTTTTACATCAGGACAAAGACACTTATGATAATCAGTGCAAAGAAATAGAAGAGAACAACAAAAATGAAAAATATGAGATCTATATGATCCACAAAGTCTCTGAAATCTAAATCAAGCTAAGAGACGCAGAAAGCCCAAAGCGGAATATAATACTGGATTAGGATAAAATAATGAGAAGGTGGAAACAATATGCTGAAGAAACTACACAGATGGGCAGCAAGACTGACAGATCCCTTTGATGAAAAACTAGCAATTTTAGAAGACAAAGTGAAAGCTGCTCACAAAGCCCATGGAAGAAATAAATCACAAAGAATAGAAGGGATTCCAACTCAGCTACAGGAACTGGATCCATTAAAATATTAACTAGAACAGACCAACAAATATGGGAAACAAAACCAAGGCACACCGTCTGAACACTTTTTCTGCTTATCGCAATTCCAAGGAAAGGACACATGAAGGAGTGAAGTCCTTAAAGGACCAGTGGTGTAGGGCTGCCAGGGCTCACTGGGTGGAAATCCTAGGACTTTTTTGAGCAGCAGAGTGTGTGGAATTATCTACCACCACCACCCCCTTTTCAGGCTTCTCTGTTCCCTCCAGCCTTAGCCACCACTTTCCCAGGTGCTGGGAGAGAAAAGGACTGTTCCCAGACCCAAGCAGACCTAAGAAGAGGGCTTGGTTTTGAATGAGCCATTAAGAGACGTTGGCTTTACAAAAGACCTTCCCTTTAGGTTGAGGCAGACCAAGGCATCCTGCCTTTCCGGATTCTCCTTTTGCAGAAGACTTCCAGGAGTCTTCCAAATTAACCGCGACACCCATTATACCGGCCCACGGCTGATCTGGCCCAAAGGGCTTCCGGTTTCCCACCTCTGCTCCTGAGGTTACAGGACTGAGATGGACCAGCGAGCCACTGCTCCTATAAAAAGACATAAGCTTAAAGTGAGAGTTGAGGGTGGCGGGTGGTGGAATATGGCCTTCGACCACGAGATGGGGCCAGCGCTCCAAAGCTTAGCTCCTTCCGTAAGGAGGGGTGTTCAGAGATGCTAAGGATGATGTCATTCCAGCATCTTGCTTTAAAAAGAAGCAAGTTGGTGCATGCACATAGAAGTAAGCTGGTGCACGCGCATACGCACGCACGCACAGCGGCTTGTGCTAGGTGCTATATGGTAATTGCATTTGAAATTACAAAAATAAAAAGAGGAGGAGGAGACGTCGGGGGAAAATTACAGCATAAGAATAATCTTAGAGTAATCTTAGAACCTCACAGCTGGAAGGGACCCTAGATTGAATCCAGCCCTGGTCAAGGAGGCCCAGTGGAGAGAATCGAACTCATAACCTCTGGCTCCGCAGCCAGAGACATCGACCATGGAGCTATCTAAGAGCAGATAGGGCCCAACTGCCAGATCACTCAGTGGTGTAGGCATCGGGCTATAGAGCCAGAGGTTGGGCGTTCGAATCCCCGCTGGTCCTGCTTGATGGGGGCTGGACTAGATGATCTCACAGGGACCCTCCCATTTCTGCTGTCCTGAGATTATGAGCACTTCCAAGTGCTACAAAAAAATTATTCATGAGCTGAGCTTAGACAACCAGGGTCGAGCAGCATCCCCAGATGTTGCTGGTCTGACCCATCAACCCCAGGACAGGTGGCGCCCCCTGGGGAGCGATGGGAGTTCTAGTCCAAGGCATTTGGGAGGGGCCATGTCGGAGAAGGCCACCCACTCAGACACTCACCGGCTGTCCCGGACAAGCGGCTGCCCAGGCTTTTGAAACTGAAATGGCAACTCCTTCTTCTGGTACTTGAGCGATTACTGAACCCAAAGGAGTGTAGCTGTAAAAACTTGCCATGTACCCATCCCAGTTGAACCTGGCCTTTCTCCACCTCCCTCAAACCAAGAACTCTCCCCAAGATTTCAATCTGCCCACGTGTTTCCCTTCTCAAATGTCAGACATTCTGCTGTGGACCAGGAAGGTGGTTACAGAATGAGGAACAAGAGGGAGAGCAGAGCGAAACCAAACAGGGAGAAGCGCGAAGTTCTACATCAAGGGAGGAAACCCCAGATGCTCCATTACAAGAGACTTGGCTTGGGAATAGAACGAGTGAGAAGGATCTTAGAATGGTGGTAGATCAAAAGCTGAATGTGAGCCAACAGGGTGATGCGGCTGCAAAAAAGGCCAATGTGATTTTAGGATGCATTAAGAGAAGAATAGTCTCCCAGTCGCGTGAGGTGCTAGTCCCCTTCTGGCCTCACCTTGAGTCTTGTGTCCAGTTCTGGATCCCGCACTTCAAGAAGGATGCTAACAAATTGGAACAAGTTCGGAGGAGGGTGACAAGGATGATGATCAGGGGGCTGGAAACCAAGCCTTAGGAGGAAAGGCTGAAAGAACCACACATGCTTAGCCTTGAGAAAAGTGGACTGAGGGGTGATAGGACAGCACTTTTCAAATGCTTGAAGGATCTGTTCTCTATCATCCCACAGTGCAGGATACGCAACCACGGGCTCAAAGTACAGGAAGCCAGATTTAGGCTGAGTATCAGGAAAAAAACTTCTTAACCGTTAGAGCAGTACGACAAGGGAACCCATTTTCCTTGGGAGGTGGTGAGCTCTCCAAAGCTGGAGGCTTTCAAGAGAAACTGGACCAACCTCTGCTTTGACTTGGATCCCTTGCCTTGAACAGGGGATTGGACCCGATGGCCTTCGAGGGCCCCTTTCCAACTCCCATGATTCTAGGATTTCACGATGCTGCGTACCCCGTTCATTCTCTGCGGGCCGCGGGCCTTACCTGCAGTTATCGACGAGGTACTGCACAATCTTGTCCAGCACTCTCTCCGTCAAAGCCGTGCGGACCCAAATGTGCTTGATGACCTGTGGGGTCAGGGCGGTGGTTCTGGTCGTGGTCGAGTTCTCCCTCTTGAGAGATTCTTGGCTGGCCGGGAAACCCTTCCGACTGCCAAAGAGAAAGGGGGGGGGAACACAACTCCTTATGGGCAGGGCTAAATCTTCCGTCTTTTCTACACGGCTTTATTTTGTTATTTTACAACCCATCTCTCCAAAATATAGCACACCGTCCCTCTATCAGCCTCTAGATGCATTAAGGCATGATTCCCCTCCACCTGCAGGGGACAATAGGCTCTGGAGTCCACATATTCCCCTCTGCCTGCAGGGGACAATAGGCTCTGGAGTCCACAACTGGAAGACACAAGAGCAGGGAAGAAACATAGTACGTGATGAATTCAGGATACCAGCCGCCAACAAAGGGGCCCTTTTTTTTGGGATGTGTTGGAATGTCACTCTGATCAACCTGCTGGGGATGATGGGAGTTGTAGTCTCGACTTGGAAAGCACCAGATCAGGGATGAGGCTTCTCTATGACGGTTAAGCTGACGGGGTGGGAGTGAAAAATGATTTGTTTGAAATGGGGCGCTGGAGGAGCGCTTTGTGGATAACCCTGGACTGCCAGGAAGACAAACAAGTGGGTCCTTGACCAAATCAAGTCTGAACGATCTCCGGAGGCCAAAATGTTGATGCTGAGTCTGCCCTACTTTGGACCCATCCTGAGAAGGCAGGATCATCTCTGGAAAAGACCCGTCACGCTGGGAAAGGTGGAAGGCAGCAGGAAATGAGGAAGGCTCAATACGAGATGGATCGGCTCCCAAAAAGGAAGCCACAGGCTTTGCAAGAGCGGAGCAGAACACAGTTGAGGACAGGACATTTTGGAGATGGTTTATGTATGGGATCACCCTAAATCGGAGGCGACGTGAGAGCACAGAGCAACAACAAGTTCTTTACACCGCGTAGCTTATGACCAGTCCCAGAACTGGGGCAGTGTTTGGTTGGATTTTTTTTTGGAAGGAATTCTGGGAATCGTAGTCCAAACCAATCTATTTCATCTATCTGTCAACCCTTGAGAGGAGCGGCAGGATCCGTTCTGCATCATCCCAGAGCGCAGAACACGTCATAATGGGCTCAAGGGACAGGAAGTCAGATTTAGGCTGAATCTCAGGAAAAACTTCTTAACTGTATGAGCAGTACGACAACAGAATCAGCGACCTCGGGAGGTGGGGAGTGATCTGACGCTGGAGAACACTGGACAACCATCTGTTCTGGATTCCTGCTCTGAGCAAGGGGATGGACTCCATGGCCTTACAGGCCCCCCTCGATCGCACTCTCAAACCCCTTCCGCTCGGGCAGCCCCGTCCGCTCCTGACTTCTGCCGAACATTGGGGCTTTTAAAAGAGGAAGAAACAGAGGCAGCCACCGGCCCTGAGGCCTGGAGCAAAGAGCTGAGGGCATTTTTTTGGGGGGGGGAGTTATGTGACTAGGTGAACGCTTTAAGGATGATGTTTCTCGAGCCCTTCCTTTTGCATCTGACAGGTGACAACTAAGGGGAAAATCAATTCCAAGCAGGCCTGCCAAGGCTTACAAGCCTCTGAACCAGCAAAGACTCTGCAGGGGGTGGAAAAGAACTCAGAAGCAGCTTAAAGTGGGCTTTCAAAAAAAAAAGTCTAATTTCCATGCAGTTTTATCTTATTTAGCAAACACCCCCCCCCCAGGGATTGCATCTGAATCATGGGCCCTGGGCTTAATTCCCTCCCTCCCACGATTTTGTATTAAACAAGCCTACGTTTCTGAATTTTTGGAGTGCAGCCGGAAGCCCTGCCCGGTTAGGCGTCCAGGGACTGCCAAGACGGGCACAGCGCCTAGTGGTTAGGGTCAGTTCGGTCTCTGGGTTCAGCCCTGAGATACAGGCTTTTGGAATCGAAACGGCAGTGTTCAGGGCAGAGGCCTGAAATCTCAGTGATTCAGGTGGCTGGAAACTCTAGCATTCAGAATGGGCCCTTTAGACATGCTCAGAAGCACCCTTTTCTATTTTTCATCAGCTTCCCTGCTTCTGGCTACTGGAATTCACACGTGGTCCTTGAAATTTATCTCCATCTCTGGAGGATCTGCCTGTGCAGGACAGAGACTGTTTTTTTGGGGGGGGCATTCCTGGCTGGAAGTCTCAAATCTGGGGCGAAGGAGAGGATGATGACGACCTGGCAAAACAGAGATCTTCAGTGGTTTTCCCAGCTCCTTCTTGCTGCTCTCTGCAATTACAATCACCTCACTCCTGCATACACTGGACCAAATCCTGTGGCTTCATGTAGTAAATAGCACTAGAGTAAACCCACTGAATCAGGCAGGGTTGGTGAGTTTCAACACTTTTGCCCTCCGGAGATCGTTCAGGCTTAATTTGCTCCAGGACATTCCCCCCCCCCCTTGTTTGTCTTTCTGGCAGTATAGGAGACCCACCAAGCATTTAGAAGAAATCAATCATTTTTCTCTCGTCTTAGCCATCATAGATAACATTTGTCCCTGATCTGATGCTTTCCAAGTGGAAACGACAACTCCCATGATCCCCAGCAGATGGATGGCATCCGCAAAGCTCTCCTCCAGCACCCCATTTCAAACAAACCACATTCCTTTCCCGTCTATCTTTCACACCCCACACATGGGGATCAGAAATACAAGTGTATTTATGTGATCACACTAAGTAACAGGACTTTAATCATCATTATAATCTTGGAACCGCAGAGGTGAGAGGACCCTATTGGCCAATATTGGTGATGTCCCAACTGAAATGAATATACAGTGGTGGCTTGCTTAACGAGCACACCGTTTAATGACGAATCCGCATAGCAACGCGTTTTTTGCGATTGCTTTTTAGGTAGGGAAAACATCGCATTGCGATGATCGGTAAGCGTTTTGCATTGTGATGTTTTAAAAACAGCTGATTGGCAGTTCCAAAATGGCTGCCGGAAGAAAAAATGGCCACCCGCAGCGTTTTCGCGCCCTGTCCTCGCTTACCTCGATTTCCGCATAGCGGTGAGTTTTTAATGTGTTCCTATGGGGTTTTCCCCCCCGCATAGCGACGAATCCGGATAGCGACGATTTTTTCCGCACGGATTATCGTTGCTATGTGGGGCACCACTGTACTCTGCACATACAAAGAAGCACCTAAGTGAGCCTCACCATCATCGGTTCCTCAATCAAGTTTTATTCATGGATTTAACCTCTAGGCCTCACTATCAATTAAGATTAAAGCTGGGCAGGAGAGGAGTGGCGTCTCTCAACATTGACTTCCATTAAACCATGTGGATGGAGACTGATGGTTTCAACACCAGTGGGTTGGTGGATCCTCTCCTGGTTTTGAGTCCAGATTTTATAAGGAGCTGTCTAAGGTGCTGAAATTATTTTGGGGCTAGGCTTTGGCAGGAGCAACCTTGGAGAGGGTCTGCAAAGTTCGGACTAAAATCTGGAGCGGAGTCCCCAACTCCACTGATATCCGAGTCACGGGCTTTTGCTGGCAGAGGCTGTTGGGATGTGGAGTTCCAAGCATCTGGAGATCAACCTGCTTCCTCCAATCCCTTCCAGGCCGGTCCGTGGAGATGACAACTCCCATTGCTTCCAGCCCCTGCGGTAGCCGGGGGCAATGGGTGTTGTAGTGCAATATCTCTGGAAGGCGACTGTTTGGAAAGACAGGTTTGAGGGGAAAACTCCAGTGAAAACTGGAGAGCTTGGACATGGAGAAAAGGAAAAGGAATCTGTCAAAAAATTTATGTTGCAAAAATTCACCCGGCTCTGGGGAAAGAAGAGAACCTTCTTATATTATAGGTAAAAGCAAAATAGTTAAAAAAAGAGAAACAAAAACGTGGTAGCCCCTCAAAGACTAGCTTTTATATTGTTTTAATGTATTAAAAGTATAAAAGGTAGTATTTAAGGTGCCACTACGTTTTTATGTCTCTCTCTCTTTTTATTTTTTATTGCTATTTTGCTTTTACCTACAACGTTTGCATAGGCAAACACAGCTACTTTTTCTACAACGTCTTATATTGTCTAACACATCTTATTTTCGACATACACTAGCAACCTGAACAAGGGAAGAGAGGCTGTCCCATGGCTGAATCTCCTGCCTACGTTTTCCCCATTCTTGACAGGTGACCTGAAAAAGGAGGGGACAAAAAGAGGAAGGGCATAAAGATGGGTGGGTTTTACTTCCACGGCTTCGTTAGGGTGATGCAGATGGCGATTGTCCACCTCGGGATCAGGATGAGCGTCGAGGACCTTGGATGTAAGGTTCGGACTAAAATCCAGAGCAGTCTCGCCACAGCCCAGTGACATTAGCGCCAACCACGAGGATGATGGAAAACAAGACCAGCCGGGCCCCATTCTTGGCTGTCGTTCGGCAAGGAGGCAAGCTTTCCCTTAATTGACCAGCTGCTTTAATTGGTTTTTTTAATGGATTGTCTTACCTCACTGCTTTGAATGTGTTTTGGTGTTGCTTATGGTTTTGTATTTGATACTTGTTTGATCCTTTCTTAGTACTGTACAGTATTTGTACACCTAAGCTTCCAAATATTGTGTTTTTAACAATGTAAGATGCCTTGAGATCATTAAAAGATCAAGGCAGGGTAAAACTATTTTAAAATAAATAAATGGATGCCTTTGCTATCTCTCTTTCGTGTAGAATCAAACACTTCATTTTGCCTTCCTGGCCTCCTGAATATATAAGCCACAGACCGTTTTTGGCTCAGTATTTGTGCTTTCCACCTGAACATCAATTTTCATCCATGATGAAGAGCTCTGTCGTATTTGAAAGCCTGCTTTATTTTTATTTTACCCCCCTTAACCAAGAAAGGTCTGGCTCACTTTTGCCATTTAAACAGCACCACTGTATCTTTTCCCACAGAAATTTAAAACCCACACCTGAGAACCGATTTAAATTTATCCCACAGTGAGTTAAAGGCACCCTTTAATTAATTTTAATTAACCTTTCAGGCAGTCTCAGTGAGTTTTGAGGGGGAAATGATAAAATGATTTTTAATGAACTGTATTTTATCCCCCTTTTAAAAAGTAATTTTCTTCTGATGTTGTAAAATTATGTATACCTTGAGGAAAACGAACTAAAATGCATTGAAAAATGTTCTTTCAAAAAGTGCATTACGTCTGAGGGAGACCTTTGGCATTCTTAATTCTAAGGAACGTTATCGTAATAAAAATAATTTAAAAAATGAAATATATGTATATTTAATATTCATGCATATAGATAAAAGTGGGCCCTACTATAAATTTCACTTTCATCTGTTTCTATATTAAGGGAGAGTGAATTTAAAAAAAAATTGATTAAACTTTGTGAAACCCCGCCTATTCCCCTAAGGCCACACCCCTTTTGAAAGTAGTGCAATCAAACCATTTGCCAACTGGAAAAAAAGAACTACAGCCTCATGGAATCTATTACCCTTAGTCTAAAATAACCAAATGCAGTGCTTCTAATGTGGAGTTTTTACAACCTCACTATCTGGGCTGTGGTCACTGTCCGTCTCTCCAGGACTGACCAATCGTTCCTTCCATGCCTCTGAATTCTAAGAGAGTCCCGCCTCTCTGTTCAGTGCTTTTTCCCCCCTCTAAGAGTCTCTTGGGGTATATTGTTGAAAGCAGTCATGTTTGGTTAGTTTGCTGTTTGAGCTGTTGAACTGCAAGTAATAAACCTTCTATTCTTTTCTCCCACTAATGTCTCAGAGCGAGTTATTGAGAGTGTAGGTGCCAGTTAATGACAGAAAAGGGGTGAACTAGTCTGGGGAAACTTGAAGCTATTCTGCTCAGTAAATCCCTGCCCTTCTGCTGCACAGGTAAAGGAATTTTACCATGAATTCAAAACTCTGCAATACTATGTACAGAATGCCTACATGCACAGACGTAGGCAAAGTGTGTGGTTAAGAGATGCATATGCTCTCCGGACAATTTTTGAAATATCTAAAAATCGTCACAGAGCTCACGCTGTCCCCCAAAGATATTTTCTCCTGCTTTTGGACATTTACAGTAGCAATATTTTCTGCTTTAAGCACTTGGTACCCCCCCTCCCGTTTAAACAAAACAAAAACCCAACAAGACATTTCTGGATTTATTTTTCTAAAAAAAAATATTTCCCACCATTTTGGCCATTTGCAGGCCTAGCACAGCTTGTGGCAGGGGATAATATGCTTGGCACAACTCTGACATAGTATTCTTCACATGCAAAAAGTTTTTTGGGTGTATTTGCCACACCCAAAATTCAGTGACGCTGTGGCACATTGTATTGGGGGCATCAGGATTCGCACCTTGATCTGGCACACCACGACTACTAAAAAAAAGGGGGGCCCAAAGAGGCTGATAGGCGTATGGAAGTGTCCACAGTCTGTGACCGTCAGCGGACTGGGCTGGCAGGGGGCTGATGGGAACCGAAGTCCAAAATGAAGCTTGAAAAAAAGGTGTTCATCCCGTTGCGTTAAGGATGAAATCATTAGTGGCTTTTGCGTTAAACAGGAAAAGGCCATTCATGTGAGAAGCGATGACCATTCTGAAAGATAAACTGGTTTTTCTTTCAAAATATTATTCTTCCAAGGCACACCCTCCCCCACTGAACACAAAAGTGGGGATTTTACGATGGACACATTAAAATTCACATTATTTCCAAGATCTAATGTTAAGCCCTGGAGAACTGATTCCCCGCCCCCCCCGGCAACCCTGTGCCACTTCTAGGTTAATTTCTATTGCACCACACACACCCTGAGGCATGGTGGACTCCAACTCCCATGTTCCCCAGCTTGGAGAGGTAGCCTCACCTGCTTTCCACCTGCTGCAGCAGCTCCTGGGCTTTCCGGCATATGTCGCTCGCCACATCATACGTCTTGCCCACCTTCGTGAAGAGGGCGGCGATCTTGTCGGTCCGCAGGAAGCCAGCCGCCCGTCGCTTGAGCATGTGCAGAAGGCAGGCTTCTACCACTCCTGGGAAAGAAGCGAGGGGGAAAAAACACGCAGAATAAAGATCCCAAACCATCAGAGGAGGCCTTTTTCTCAGTCCCATCTCCACCACTCCTGGGAAAGAAGGCAGGGAAAAAACATGCAGAATAAAGATCCAAAACCATCAGAGGCCTTTTTCTCACTCCCATCATCTTCCCAGGTGCGTCTGACAGGCACCCGGGAGAGCAGGGCCTTCTTGGTGGCTGCTCCCAGAGACTCTTCCCAGGTGTGTCTGATAGGCACCCAGGAGAGCAGGGCCTTCTCGGTGGCTGCTCCCAGAGACTCTGGAACTCCCTGCCACTGGAGGCCACCCTGGTCCCCTCTTGGCTGTCCTTATTCATGCAGGCAAAGACCTTTCTCTTCAGGCAAGCTTTCCCTTAAAGGACTGCCTGCCTGAGTGGTTTTTTTTAAAAAACGGCTTTTTATAATTTGCTGCTTTGAATGTGTTTTTGGGTTTAAAGGCTTGTTATGATTTGCTGCTTTGAATGTGTTTTTGGGTTTGCTTTTATTTACTGTTTTTAGTGCCATATTTGTTTATCTTTCTTAGTATTTGTTTTCTTGCTCTTTTTAGCTTTAAATACTTTTTTTTAAAGGATGTAAGCTGTCTTGAGATCTTCAGAAGAAAGGCAGGGCAAAAATATTTTAAATGAATAAATATTAAATATTTAGGAGAGTCAGAGTTGATGGACACGTGGCCATTTCCATAGCCACCAGAGACCAGGTTTTCTTTGCCAAAAAAGGAGAAAAGATGTACATCTGCTCCTGAAAGCCAGCTTTATTTATTTCTTGATTTCCTACAGCGATCACCTGCCTTTGGCCTAGAAAACAGCGCTTAAGGCAGCTCACCAATTTCCTTAAACAAACAAAATCAATTTTTACTCTAAAATCAAGGAAGGCCAGCCTTAAAATCCATTTGTGAACGTGTGTGAAATCTGGGCAGTGAAGAAAGCTGACAGGAGAAAAAACAACACAATAGATTTGTTTGCAATGTGGTGGATTTTCCTAGAAGTCTGATTGATATTATTTGGTCAGACCGTACATCATAGCCCTGAACTGCTTGTGCTATGTCTTGTCTCAGTATTGTAGCCACTCTGTTTCTTTCGGGTTTGTCATTTCCAGAGTAGAACACTTTGTAGTTGCCTGACTAAATGTGTCTCATTTCAATCAAGTTTAGCCCACTAAGCACTGCGATGTTTAAGTGTTTCATTTCTTCCTTTGCAGTTTATAGTTTACCTTGCTGCATACTTCTCACAATTCACGTTACAATTATATGTGGTGTGTGCAGCACCAGACTTCAACCTCTGTGCACGTTGGCCACTAGACACCCTTTGGGCTTTAATCTATTGCATCCTTAGCGCTAGGACACGATGTTCTTCCCCAGTATTTGGCTTGAGTGCTTTCTGACCTGGGAGTCTCATCTGCCAGCACTATCTCTTGTCCCATTTTGGATGGTCTCATCATAGGGTTTTCAAGATTCAGTGGGTTTTTTCGGTTGCCGCCTTCAGGCATTAGCTTGAGTATCTCTCCCACTGTCTGTGAAAGACCCTCCACCAGTGTCCCCTGCTCTCCCAAAGCGTCTCTGTCCCATCAGAGCAATCAATCCATTCTCTTCTGCTAATCTGGCTGTTCGCCCGTGAAGCAGGCAGACACCTCTCCGTCTGGTCTCTCCGCTGTAGCCATTCCCCCTTGGGTGACTCTGCTGGGAGTCCAGGTTCATAGCAGGGGTCCAGCTACCTGCAGGCCTGGCTCTTGGCTACTCTGGCCCACTCAACCCCCCCATCCATTGCCACGTTCAGGGGGGTAGCCAAGAAGGGCTTGCAACGCTTAGCAGTGGGTATTTTGAGTAGGTCCCTCTTAGCACAACTGTGGGTGTGTGAGAGAAAGATTATCACCATCATTTTTTAAATGGGAAAGAGAAAACATATTTTACAGCCCATTATCTCTCCTCTTTTCCATTATTATTGCTATTATCTTTCTAAATGGCAAAAGGCCCGCGCCCTTCCCGGGAGATGGGTTACCCTAAGTGATGCAGCCGAAGGCCAGCTTTCTTGGGATTGGAGCCGTCTGGAGAAAGCCGCGATCAACAGCTGCTTTTTCTCCTTTTCCCTGAATGGGGACAGGAGTGCGTGGCATTGGTGCAAAAAGGGGAGAAGGGCTCTCTGTGATTTGGGGGGGAGGAAAGGATTCGCCAGTCCAAGGAGGCCGTTTTCGCATGAAACTCTCCGTTGGCCTTGGCCAACAAGGGCGCGGTGCAGATCTGTTCTGTGGAAACCCACGAGACAAGCATCTCGTAAACCTCCTCGTAAAGGGACAAACTGGCACATCTTTTTACAAAGGCATGCCCGTTCGCACCAGAGCATCCGCAAATATTGCTCCTTCCCGGGGGATCTAAAGCAGCGGTTCTTAAACCTTTCTTGTCCGGGCATCATTACATTCTGTTTTAGCCGCCTTTGAGGGTTCAGAGCTCTGACCCATTGTTCAAGTCAATGCTTAAATTACAGATGCTGAAGATCACGACCCTGAAAGCTTTCAGGCAAGTTTCCAAAAGGAAATGAATCGCACACAAAAACAAGACCTGCTTATAAATCATAGGTGAATGGAACACAAGAATAGGAAACAAAGCAGGACCAAATGTTGTTGGAAAATTTGGCTTGGAAGTCGGATATCAAGCAGCTGAGTTCGGCAAAGCCAACAATCTGTTTATTGCAAATACATGCTTCAGCCGAACCCATGGCTGTACATCACCAGAGGGTCAATGACTATAAGCAAGTCCATCCATCTTGTATTAGGTTTATAATCGTCATCATCATCATGATGTTAAGTCCACTTTGACTTATAATGGCTCTTTTTCAGAGTTTTCGAGGTAGAGAATACTCAGAGGTGGTTCCCCATTCCCTTCCTCTGGGGTAGGCTACCCAGGCTGGCTCTTCTGAGATGCACCGGGGGGGGGGAGGAGAAATGGCGGAACCTCTGGCTCTGCAGGCAGAGAGAGACCTGACTCACTCAGCTCTCCAGCCAGTTTTCGTTTCATTTTAGTATACAATTTAAGTTTATAGCTGTAACTAAAAAGTTATTTTCCTTGAAAATAAGCTACCTTGGCATAACCTTGTCTACATAATTCCCACCCACCCCCCAGTCACCGATTGTTAAGGGTGTTAACAATGCCATGGTCATGCTAAGGAAATAAAGCCGACCTGTACTTGTCCACCATCAGAAGGCAAGGGTGGGTGATCCCTTAGTGAGATCACTAAAAATCCCAAATGTGAGCCAGCTTTCAAATCCCACAGGGGTCTTCATCGGGCTGAACACCACAGAGCTGAGGACTCCACAGAAAACCCACGAAAAGTCCCAAAACTCACACCCAGAGCAAAGCGCCAGGTCCCTTGGTTAAAAATAAGTTGCAAAAGGTAGATTTCTGATCCCACCTCTGTCGATGGAGGGGCTGGAGGTTCACTCAGTGGTGTAGTAGAACCAGAGCTTGTAGATTCAAAATCTCAAGACTTTCTGGTTAAAAAGGGTTCCAATATATATCTATGTATTACTTCTGCCTTTCTTCCTATAAGGGGATCTAAGGCGGCTAGCAACAGATGAAATAAGAAATTTTAAAACACTTTATAAATACCTATTGAAAAAACACAGTGACACATGCCATATTTTTCCATGTATAAGATACTCGCAAAAGATGAAATAAGAACTTTAAAAACACTTTATAAATACATATTGAAAAAACACAGTGACACATGCCGTATTTTCCATGTATCAGACTATACTTTTGTCTAAAATGTTTAGACTAAAAATTGAGGCTCGTCTTATACGCAGAAGTAAGCTGAGGAGAGAACAAAAACAAGTGGAGGGGAAAGCAAGGATCAAAGCGATCCTGCAGCGCTTCGATCCCTTTCCCCCTTACACCTGCTAAGCACCACTTGTTTTTCTTAATTTTGGATTAGAAAAGTGGGGGCATTTTATACATGGGGGTGTCTTATACACAGAAAAATACAGCACATTAAGATCTAAAAATCTTAATGTTTTTTTAAAAAATCTTTAGAAACATTTAAAAAACTTGTAGGGTTAAAAACCAGCATTCCTGCGACAACTTAGCAAACCAGCAGAGATGTCATTGGCCAGCCCTCACTGGCTTCCCGGTTTCCTCCTGAGCTTAGCTTCAATCTTTCCAGCAGTGGTGGGAGAAACTGATGCTTCTAGAGAAGGGGCATTTTGTTAAGCGATCCCTGTTGTCGACCCTGTGTTTCAGGGTGGTTTGGTCTTGAAGGGGGGGATTGAGAGCCATTAGGTTTACAAAAGACATGCTTTCCAATTGTTCATAGGAACTAATCCTGCCCAGATACTTATGGGGCTGGGCAGCTCTGAGGAGTGTCACACCGAGCATCCACGCTGCCACGTTTTTTGTTTATTATGACCACATGTGGTCGTCCATAAAGGATGCACAGGGCCCTGCCTAGAAATCAACCTCTGAGCACTTTTTGCACAGCCCTGCCTGCTCTGGAGATTTGCACCCAGTGCTGCAAAAAGGCAAAAACTGTCCACTGTCAACCTTCACTGGTAAACTCCAATAGATGGTTGTCCAGGATTGAAGAAAAGTCTCATATCCCATAGGCTTGGCCCTAACTAAGTAGAGGATCTTATTTCTCTTCTTAGAAAATCATAAAGTTGAGCTTCTGTGATTACTTGGGGTAGAAGTTAAGGTAATAAAGGTGGATGCATTCACTTTTGGATGAGAAGAAGTTTGTTTTGTGCCTCAGATGTCCTCGTTTTCATAAACAATCACTTGTCAACGGGGTTTTCCTGTTCTTTGGGGAAGAAATTTCAATTCAGTTGAAAACTGATAGCATAGGATCCCATTTTCCAGTCCAAAACAGGGAGGAAACTAACAAGAAGAGTAACGCTGAAGTCATGATGTAACCAAAACATTACAAGCCGGGTAGATTCATATGTCAAACGAGGCAATTACAGACGGAGATGAAATC